TGTTTCATCTGATTAGGCTTGCGGGTTAGCCTGAGCTCATCCCAGCCTACGTTGGGCATGAGGTGGTGTCCATCCTGGATTGGTTAGCAGTTAATATACGATATGCATCATTGAATGCTAATTTAAAATAGCTTTCTGTATGTTCAACAGGACCGGTTTGTGGGAGACTGAATGCGTCACAAAAGAATATGACACTCGCAAGCAACGAAGTGACAATAACCTTCGAGTCGGGGTCACATCGGTCCGGACGGGGCTTTCTACTGTCCTACGCCACAGACCTTTATCCTGGTATGTACCACAGCCATCACTATGGGCGAGGCTAAGGGGTTCGGAGACGCACACGGTTACTACAGCACCCAACACGTGTTATCATGGCGGGAGGAATACTGGGAGGCCTCTGGCTTCAGCGTGTTGTTCAGTGAGCATTGATTCTTCTCCTCTTGCAACCCCAGGACCACCAAAGGCCATGTAACAACGGTTACATGACATGTATTTGACAAGGGACATCTTATGTTTGACAAAGAGATTTATATATTTTTTTTCCTGCGTCATGTGACTGGTCTGAACAGGAGTCTATACTTAGTGTCCCCCAGATGAGGTCATCCGGACAACGCTGCGTGTATCACAGTTTCCTGTCTTCCCGTAGCTTGTTTGTGAAATCTCGCCATGTCTGGATGCACAAACCGCCGTCTGTTAGCTGAGATCACACGAGAGCCAGTCGCCGTGCTCGTCAAGTCAGCGCAACAAAGGCCTTGCTCATCTCAACACTGATGACCGCTCATCCCCTAATATAGCAACACACTGGGCTATCTCATGTCTGTGTTGGAAAGGGTGGGGGGGTTGTTATGTAAGCCCTTTAATACGTACTCACGTCGTCCTTTAAATCCCATTCGAAATCAAGTGACATTATTTTGTCTCCCTTGTTGTTGCAGATATGGTCTCTTGTTTACAACGAGGGTCTCATTTTAACTTGCCGCATGTGAGGTTGGTGAATACTGCATGTTTCTCGTCCTTGTTAAACAAGTAGACTACCCAGCAAGTGTCTTCTGCTTTTCAGAGTTTACTGCCCTGCCGGGTGTAAAAATGTGACTGGAGACATATGGGGAGGTCCCGATCGGGGCTACCGAGATGTAAGTACATGGCATTTAAAAGTTGGGAGTTGATAGTTGGGTTCACATCATGTTTCCACCTCGTAGTTCAGGTTAGATCAACACAGTTTCAATTCGATCAACTCTGACCAGTCCACAACAAAACATAAAATTTACAGATGCGGGTCGAATGATAATCCAGGAGGGTACTCCTTTACTCCCGCGATAGCAGTAGGTTAATGATGAGCCAACTACCAAACAAATTTGAGTTACAACCGCACCAAAGGAACAGAACTCTTGTCATGACTGGTTTTC